TCATTTTATTTATGAAATCAAAGATTACACGTGGATATAAACACAAGAGAAATGTTGTTTTCTGTCTGAACTGCCCATTTAGACAGAAATTCACAAAAGCATCCCTCAACAAAACACCAAAACGGAAGGATATGAAGGGTATTTTCCATATATCCGGTATGGACCTGACTATTTTTTGCGGGATTTCCTGGTTGTGTAAGTGCAAACTATAAAATATGCAGATAAAGAAGGGTGTTTTTTTATCTAGTATGAAAAAAATAAAAAAGCATTGTGTAGTTTAATCAGCATCAAGAGCAGGTCTTTCATTTGATAGCGATAGCCTATGTTTTTCAGTCTGGAGTCTAAACTAGACCAGATTGTACAACACTAACCGCAAAGAAGAACACCATTTTCTTAAAAATGCATTCATTTTGATGGTATGTTAGTCTTATATTTTTTTTTTCTCCATTGTGAGAATTGCTTATTGTTTACTACTTGTTGAAGTGTCAACACAAGTACAGTAATAATTTTGATACTGGCAGACATTTGTCTTCTTCTGTTTTAGTATCGAGTAAATTGTGTGTCCTTGAGTAAGTTGAGTGGAGTCCTTAGTTAGCAAATATATCTCCAATGCAGATCATGGTGATCAAACTTTCGGCCAATCATATCAGATGACTAGTCTTTCTTATATCTGGATTCCTTATCATGTTCCACAATTAAAGAAGAAAAGCAAGCTTCTTTACTTTCTATGTTCTAACATGCTGATTACTTTTTTTTTTTGACATTGGGAAATTAAGGGAAGGGGGTAGTTGCCTAGATTAGAACCCAAGATTTGGATGTCTAGGCACTGTCCGTCACGGGGATGGCCAGTAGGCCACTTGGTGCCAGACAACATGCTGATTACTTTGAGTAAAGCATATTTTTACTATGTTTTCTCTTTCATTTCTTTTTTCTTGGATTTCCTTAGATTCTCACTCTTTCTTTCTTGATCATCAATAGTATTTGGTAAATTTACTCCAAGCACATTCTGTGAATATAGAAATATTTCCTTTCTGTTTACCAAGATGTTTGAGATGATGATTGACCTCTTTTAACAAGTTGTTCCTTTACTAATTTCTCATGCAATAAATTTGACAGTCTTCTTTTCAATGGGGCTCGGATTTGACAGGGGAAGAAACTCCATTTACTTACATTGAAGGGACCGGTAAAGGGCCAAATGAATGGGGCAACATCAGGCCAGATTGGAAAGTTTGCAATACTGGAAAATTGCAGTCTCCTATTGACCTTCTGGATGGAAGAGTACAGGTCATGTCTAATTTAGGGAAATTAAAGAGGGACAACAAAGCAGCTCCAGCTGTTGTGAAGAATAGGGGACATGGTATTTCAGTTAAGTTCTATTCTCTATTTCTTCTATTTCTTGTTTCTTAACCAACATTGCAAAGTCAGATATCACTTTCTGTTTATCAATCTATTATCAATTTTGTATCAGGTGTGGTGGGAAGGGTATGCAGGAAAAATCAATATAAATGAAACTGATTATAAGTTGACTCAGTGTCATTGGCATTCACCCTCAGAGCACACATTCAACGGAGCTAGGTACATCCTTTGTGTCTTTGTGATTTGGTTTAGTATTTGTTACACCTAGAAGTATAAATGATTCTACCTGTGTCTGCCATTCCAAAACATTAACTGATGACTTGCACTGAATTTCTAACTCACTCAGAAGCGTGCAAGACTAATTCTAACTCATCCTTTTGCCAATTACCTTCGTTTACGGACACAAGTTGGAACTTCACGTTTTTCATCGAAGTGCCTCAGGAAAGACTGCAGTTATCGGAATTGTCTACAAATATGGCCGCCCTGACCCCTTGCTTTCAAGGGTATTGAACTTTTTGTTTTACCGTGTTTACTTCTAAGTACAAGCATGTGTACCCTTTCATAATTGATACACGTATGCAACCACATTATGTATGAGCATATATATGCATTCATATATATGTATCTCCAAAGACTACATTAGAACTTGTGGCTTAAAAATGGAGAAAAAACATGACACATAAAAAAGTTTACCCTCATGAAGTTGCAAGCTTTTAGCATATTTTTGCCATATTCCTTCTTCTGCCTCTTGTACCATGTGCATCTATTGGTTTTTTATTCCCTACTTTTCTTTCCCTTGATTGTTCTTTCTTGGTCTTTTGGGCAGCTGCTCCATCACATAAAAACAGTTGGAAAAAATGAGAGACCAATAGGTATTCTTAACCCAGGAGACATCAAGTTTGGAAGCAGAAAGTATTACAGATACAATGGTTCACTTACAACTCCTCCCTGCACTGAAGGTGTTGTTTGGACAATTGTCAAGAAGGTCCTTTTAGCCTTTTACCAACTTCCTTGTCCCTTAACCATTTTCCTTTCTCCATTGATGGTTTTACTAAACATGTTGAGATGTTGTCTTTTGTAGGTGAGGACAGCCTCAAGAGAGCAAGTAAAAGCATTAAGGGATGCTGTTCACGATGTAAGTGCTTCTTACAAGTGGTTGTGGTATATTATTCTGCATTTGGATGTCGATGCATGCCTTTGGATGCAGCCCCACATGTACGTGCAAAAGCTGTGCTTGTTTGATTTTTTTTTTTCTAGTCCAGAAGGACTGAAAGAAACTTTTCTTATAAACCGGGATGAATTTATCCTATAACCTGTTAACACATTCTGCGAGATGAAATTTACTTGGAATTTGATGTTGAATCCATCCATTTTTCAGGGATATGAGGCAAACGCGAGACCAACACAAGCACTGAATGGAAGACCAGTATGGCTCTACACTCCGAGCAAGAAGTATTGGTGATTGTGCATATGTCTATAGTAGTGTGTAAAGAAACTGAACTATAAAAATGGTTGCTTTAGCTGTCATGAAGCAACGATATGAATAATGTCTCCGAATGAGGCAAAAGCAATGATTTTTGTTTTGAGTCTCTTCAGTCTGGAGTCAGTCCCTTGATTTTTGGTTTTTTTTTTTTTTTGGTAAATGGAGTCAGTCCCTCGATGATCATCTTGCACGTGTATTGTCATCATATATGGAGATACAATAAAATTTTACTAATCTTAATATTATTATTTTCATCATATTAAATTATTTTTTAATATATATGAGGGTTAACTATTTAATATCATAACCGACAATTTATTTATCCGAGTGAAATGAGTTCGGTTCTCTTCAAGTAAAG